GGCTAGCAAATTAAAATTAATATCAAATATAATTCATTTGTACCAAACGGGAAAACTTTAAATTGAGATACTTCTAAACTGCAATCTTGCTTTATTACATATTTATTTCCAGTTTACAGTGAAATTTTGTCAGACAGCTTTGCGCTGTCAGAATTACAAGTGGTGGACATTAAGAGGTTAACCTCGTAGTCATCTACTTATTCTTAAATGTACTTTGTACGATCTTTTTACGCTACGGAATAAATGTATCATGCACACAAACAGTGGTAATGAAGATAACAAATTTTACTTTAAATATTGTTAATCAATTTTTGTTTATTATTATGTTGGTAAGCGGCAGTCAAGGCGAACCCATCACGATAAAATTGATAACATCCTAAAGAACATTCAGGTCAAGAATACCCTTGTCACGATGCTGTCCTACTTCACCATCATCCCACCTTTTTATCATCCTTTTTTCTGTTTCTGGCCACCTATATTTAAAATTTTGAATTGTGAAAATCCTCGAATTCTGTTTCCTTCACTATTCCTACGTTTATTCTATCCGACGTCACTCCCGTCAAAATTCTTGAAACAAGAAAACGTGCCCATTAATCATAAATCACCTTAATTTCCTTATTGTAAAGTTTCACGTCATTTATTATATACTTATATAGGTTCGTTTAGAGTGAATATTGCGTATTGCGTTATTTAGTTTTATAGGAGTGTTTATAATAATTTTCATCATCTTCATCATCGACCCATTCATACGTTCTACTACTGGGCACGGGTCACCTCTCAGCAGGGTTTAGGCCATAGTCCGCCACGCTGGCTAAATACGGGTTGGGGACTTACACATTTTCGACGGTTGTGAACCGTCTTCGACGTGCAGGTTTCTATGGTAGTTTAAGTAAGGTAACGTCGACCGTTAGTGATCGAATGAATGAATGCCATGAGTGCCATTCCTCTGACACTTTATTGAGGCTCAACTGCCATTGCAACAAGATTTTAGCAGAATAGCAAATATTATCATAATTTAAATATAATCTCAATGGAGTCTCATAGAAATTACAATGATCAATGGTTTTAAGCAAGTTATCAGTGATTTAATATATCTTCACAAAATCTTACACTCTTACCTTGATTCCGTTAATTTATTGGCTAGTATTAATATTAACATTACCCAACCCTCGGCGTCCTCTGTCTTTAGTCCTAAACACATCTTTTTACAATACCATAACAAGAATGTGTCGCACATATAATGACCTTATTAAGAATAACCTATCCTCAATACAGAGTACTAAAAAAAACCGACCTCAAAAGTTATTCATCACCCTTAAAGGTCGAATATTTTCTTCAAATTGAAATGGGACCACTTCTGAGGTATCCTCTTTCCAACAAAAAAAGAATCATCAAAATCGGTTCACAAATAGCGGAGTTATCGCGTAACATACATACAAAAAAACATACATTCGAATTGAGAACCTCCTCCTTTTTTTTAAGTCGGTTAACAAAAAACAATTACGTATATTTAATTCTAAGTGTTACGTATTTAAAAAGTCCGTCTCAAATGTCCCCAAGTAGTGCAGTCAAACTATAAAAATTAAAATAATAATAATTTAATTATAACAATTTTTCCTTTTTTATTTACTTTTATATTTTATTTTTATTTTTTTTTTATACCTGACAGGCAAATGACTCCACTCCACCTGATGTTAAGTGGAAAGTGGTATCCAAACAC